CTACATTTTCAATCAATGACAAATACACCAGCATATCCCAAGAATCTATGGAATTATAATATTCTACAAGAGTTCTCAAATTATTATTATTATTTTGTTAAACTTATTTGAGCGCACTTACTCGTAGATCTCTTTCTTGAAGTGTCCAAACCCGGTTTTGATCCTCTCCACCGGGTCAAAGGGCTTCTTGGCGGTGGCTTCCAAGTCAGCCGTCAACTGCCTTATCTTAGCGGCTGCCACGTCCTCAAGCTGGTCTTTCTCGCTGCCACATTTCACAAACATCAAGATAACTGAAACGCCGGCCAGTCAGAAATTGAGACATCAAACAATACAATACGACCCATCTGTGGGACCACATTATTATTTATTACATCAAACTTACCTAAGCTGTCCCAAAGTCACAAACCGTGAGGTCCCACGTGGAAGATAAACAGAGAAGAAAGGAAAAGAAACGAAGACAAAAAACAGTTGAAACTCGGAAAATAATTTTTACTACTTGGAAAAAATGGTGCACGGCAAACCTATGACGCTTAGTAACGTTGCCCGACGGACTCCTTGGTGAATGCGAAATGAAAGTACCACATCTTTTTGTGAACCGAATGCGAAATGACAGTTCAGGACAGGTTTTGATAGAAATTTCACGTGGGAATTGCTTTGACTATCTCGGTTGGGATCCCAACGATTTTCAGAAAGGACAGAAAGGGAAAAAGACACTGGCAGGCAGAGCAGGCAGGTACCTGAGAAGCTTCTGCAGCCCAGCAATGGCTTCCTCGTATTTATCTTTCCCCATCTCCCCTGTCTGCAAAATGCAGGATTACTCTTTTCGGAAAGATTCGAACAAAAAAATTATGCTCCTCATTTTCCGATTTTCGTGACTTAGAAATATGAAATTCATATGCCTGAACTCTTAATACGAAGATCAACAAATATATATATATACTTCATATAGATGCGTTCTTATGTAATTATCTGCTTTTTGATTACCTAAGTATAACCTAAAAATTTCTGAAGATTTTTGCCATAATCTATGTAACTTCAACCATTTGGACATGCTATCTGCTTGCGTATCTAACATGATATTGTATAAGCTTTTCAAATCTTTGGGTGTATTTTCCTCTCCCTTGGGAATAAGATTGTAATATCCACCCAACGTTGAATAAATTAGGAAAGCAGAGGAATACTCCATAAATTTGGAGAAAGGTGACTTACACAGGACAAGATGGGATATCATGATTGCATGGGGGGGAATGAATCTTACCTGTTTGAGAATTCTGATTCAAAATTCTGAAATGGGGGGTATGGAAAGGTTGCAGCAGAGACAAAGATGATGATGGGGGATTTTTTGGTCCTTTCTCCGCTGGCCTGCCCGGACTCAAGGGAGACGGAGAAAGGAAAGAAACAGACGGCTAGGACACGGCTTCCTTCTTGCCTTCTTGTTTAAAAGTTGAGCTAAAGAGGCCCTGCTTTTATAGAAAGGATTAACCATGGTTAAGGAGATGGCCATCGGAAATTCACCTCTGGTTTTCCCAAAATAGTTAGTACTCAATCGTATTGTCCTAGTTAGTAATATGCTTTTTTTTTAAATTAATTGTTATATGTCACAAATGGAACACTGGGGAGGGAGGGATGGATGGATGGATATCCGGAATCCGGAATCCGGAAGCCATTGTGGACGGAAGAAAATTTAATGCACGGATGAAAAGTGGATGGTAACTAAGGCAGGTGACTGCCGCTGTCATGTCATATGCGGGGCGGTCAAGGTGTGTCTACGTGTTTGTTGTATTGGTCCAACTTCCTTCAGTCGCTGGTTGGATTAGGATTTAGGAGCCCCTTCAAATTAAACTTACTTAGATAGCAAGTAGATCAGCATTTCTTGTGCTGCTTTGTCTTTTATTTTGTTTCACCATGAATGGAAGTTTTTTGGACGAAATGAGCTGTAGAAATGGACCTTTCGCCTCCTAATGGACTTTACTCAGTCATGAGTACTAGTACCAGAAATTTCATAGTTCATCCTTCTTATTGATCATCAAGTACCTACTACAAGTCAACCATTGGGCAATGGTTCGGTGGTCACAGGGAGGGACTTAAGTCCCTCGTCCCTCCTTGGGCTGTAGGTGAGGTTCGAACTTCATCTGCAGCGAAAAAAATCTAAAGGCTGTGTCATAGTACTCTTTTGATTTAGTTGGGTCTGTATATCCACTAGTCCCTACAACAGTCTCTTTAGGCTCCCCCTCCCCCTAGATTAGGATAAATTAGGTTATACAAATGTATCGTTACTGTCAAAAAAAAGTACCTACTACGAGTCTTTCACGTGAAAACTGCGGTGAATCAATTAGTCTTTGGATGCCCCCCAGGCAGCTCAGTCGGTCACGCTTTCCTCTTTAGGGGCGTTGTCCGGCCTTGGGCAACCAAGTTTCGAGTCTGCCTGGAGTTACCGTGTCCGGAGTGGAGTGGGGCCTCCTCTCCTGGGCTGCAGGGGATTAGTCGGGCCCCGTAAGGATTGACCCGGACACCCCTGTGTCGAAAAAAAAATAAAAATTAGTCTTTGGATTGATGAAATCGCTACCGTGTCCTTGGTAAACAAAAGGCTTACGTACCCAAAAAACTAAGTCGCATCTGCCAATAGAGACTCCCTATCCGGACAGCAGTCCTCTCTAGACCAGACTACAAAGGCGTATTGTTTGGGACAGTGAAAGGACACCAAGTTGAAGATGAGCGATCCCCAGAAGAGCCGGACGGCCCTTCCCCATTTTCATAACATATATTCCCTACTCATAAACAGTAGTACCACTGTACACTGTCAAACTGCATGGTGCAAGAAAATGATAGCATAGGAAATTATAAGCCACCGATTCAAACGCAATCTCCGCCCGCGGCCCACGCACTCCCTCACCTTTGGTGACTGTAGTATATATGCAATAATTCTTGAATAGAATAAGCCGTAAGGACTTGGGTGGCCTCTGGGCCTTTCCCTGGGGCAGGTCAACCATCAGTTATCACTTCACTAATCAGCCTTTCCTGGAGGACTGGTTGACAGCACGGCAACGAGCCGCAATTTGACATAATTAAAAATTGCTCAATTTGGGTTCTTGATATTCAACGTTACAGGCTTTTTTCCTTTTAATAAATGTAAGTGGAAATTGTGATCGATGATATTTAATTTCATTCCAGAAGGGCAAGATTGACATATAGTCAAAAGATTATTATGACATTAAATTAAGCTGGAGTTTTCACAATAGTAATATTACTACCACGGAGATGGAGGGAATTGAAAAGGTGCTTACCACCACAGGCTTTCTTGAACAGCATAGCCCCATAAATTTCCTAAATTTTTCAGCCATTCTGAGTGAAATCTACCTGTTCCATTTTTCAAAGTATAAACCATTAGAAGAATTTGTTATAGCCACGAATTCTGAGATAATCAAAGGACAATCAAAGTCAACTATCATGCTCTCTCTCAATTTGTTGACTCTTAAATTTCAGGTTCCAGTGTCATGCACTGATGCAAGCAAATGTACAACTTAAACAATATTCGTTGAAGGGCAACATTAAGATGCTTCGCAGTTGAAACATTAGAGAGAGATAGAGAATGGAGGGGCACCTAAAAGGGAGTCAAGTATGTAGCTATTGGCTGTGCAGGAGTGGTGGAATGGCCGTCCTCATGCATGCCCCACTGCTTACGGTTGCTGCAGCACCACCATTTGAGACTCTGGGAAATTAAAAAACGCTCATTTCTGTTTTTGGGCCATTCTTTGTTTTATTTATCAGTTTTTATGTGGTTATGGTGAGGCTTTGAACATTGGACAACAGCTACAGGCATTGAGAAGGGGTGTATTACAGACAAATTCAGAGAATTTGGAGGTGGAGCTGCGTCCTGGATAAAGAAAGCGACAGGACTGGTGATTGGATTGGAATCAAGCCTTTTCTCCTTGCAAAATTCTTTCAGACCACATAAACCTGTGATAGAATTTGAGAACTGACAAAACCTTTGATCAACTCACATCCTGCTAGTGCTAGAGCTTTGTTTACAGTATTCGTTTCGACTTTGGATTGGATAACCTTAAATCACGCAGCTACAACATCCAAGATTTTTTTTTTCTTTGCCTAGCAAGCCATCAAACAATTATCGCCACTCAAATTTCTGATTGAAATTTAGAGCGGGGGATATCGGGGGGAGGTGGGATCAAACTAGAATGTTATAGCATCACTAAGAATAGCTAATAAGTTAGAAGTAGGAAAAAGAACCCCCAAAAAAAAAAAAAAAACTATTATTCTCATACCCATCAGATAATTAATTTTAGTGCTACTTTGCATCAACACGAGATGTTTAACCTTAGAATATAGGATGCACTGCAAATTCATCGCCAAGTTATTTAAGGAATTCTAGAGGTATCCACAGAAAATTGATGTAGATGCAAACGGCAAATGACATAACATATTCTATAATATTTTTTGCTATTGGGCAAGAGTAAACATAAAGAAAAGACACAATTAGGTCTACTACTATAAAATTCGGATAATATATAGTATTTTATTTTCCTCCCTAATGGGGGTACATTTTCAAATAAAATATTTTAAATTTTTACAGACAAATAATGGCTTGGGCCACATTTTATTTTGGACAACCCATTGTGCGTATGAATCCGGACTAACTAAATGCTGTGTAGTTTTCGAAGTGCAGGCTAGCCCAGTCCTTGACAAGGTAGACAATTCTATTCCTTTTAGAGTATGCGTAAACGCTCCCGGGTGAATGGTCCAGCAGTAGCACCTCCCACCGGTGATCGAGAGGTCCCACGTTCGAGTCTCTGCTCTGCTGGATTTCTCTGCGCACATATCGTGCTTGGGCTCGGTTGGGGCGCCTGGCCGGGCCGCAGGAGATTAGTCGGACCCCGTAAGAATTGACCCGGACACCCCTGTGTAGACAAAAAAAAAAAAAAAAAAAAAGAGTATGCGTAAACGCAAATGAATAAATAAAGCGAAAAGAAAATATGTTTGCCTTCATGGGAAAAAAGCGGTCCTGCTTATCACGTTTCTCAATTGTCACCTGGGTTCTCTTTTCTTTTAAGGAAAAAGAGGTCTTCATAACAACGTTGACAACTTGTGTTCTGAGAATCACCAGCGGTCGGCCAGGTCACCTCAAACAACTCAACAAAGTGCTTGCGCTTTCGGATCTGATACACTTCTCCACTCCGCCACTCCCCTCTGCCAAAATTCCGGTGAGCCAACTAAAAGAATGTTATATCCAGCAACTCTTAATTTCTGTTTAATTCTGTTCAAGTATGCATGTATAAATATTTCTCCTTTTCTTTTCTCTTTATTTTTTTCCTGGCCAGAATTACAGAGATCTCTGTATTGGAAGATCCCAACACGATCTTCGGACCCTTTTCTTGCCTTGATCGTTGCTAATCGTACCACGATCAAAATTGTTTCTTTTTATTCCTACTTTTTAGATTTGGGATTAATTTTCCACTCCCAAAATCTTTTCCCGTAATTTCAGAAAATTGGATTTGTTTCTGCGATTTTGCCTTATCTGTTTGTTTTTGTTTTTGATCTTTTCCTCTCATTGCATGGTTTCTGTTTTCATTGATTTCTTTTTATTTTAAATTTGGTTGCGTCTGTTAATTATTGTATGGTTATTTATTAGATGAATTGCAGGGGGATATGTGTTAAAGTTGTAATTTTTATTTGTAAGCTGAGTCCAATGTTTTCATTCTTTATCTTTTCCATTGATAGGGATGGCTGAACAAAAGAAAAAGCAACCAGTTTTTACTAAGGTTGAGCAGCTCCGCCCAATGGCAAATGGGCTTAATCTGACTGTAAAGGTTGTAAATACAAAGTTGATAGTTCAGAGGGGTGCTCAGGCGCGCCAAATGCGGCTTGCTGAATGCTTGGTTGGTGATGAGACTGGAATGATTATCTTCACTGCTCGGAATGATCAAGGTTCAACATTCATCTTCCTATATCTTGATTACTTGAGTTTTGCAACATTCGTCTTTCTATATCTTGATTACTTGAGTTTTGCACGTATTGCTGTTCCCATTATTATTTTAGGGTAACCATCATGCATGCGTGCTATTGTTTTTATTGTACGGGTGGTTCTATTTGAATAGTTGTTGACCATTTGCATGTTGGTGAAACGAGAGTAACAAAGGAAGAAAGAGCTGTGGTTAAGTGGTTATTAGTGTTTTCAATAAAACTTGTACTGAACAGAAAGAATAATAATGGCACGAAATGTTCTATTCAAGAAGGTACTAGGATCTTGGTGAAGACAAGAAAGGAACTTTGAGACGTAAGTTGGTGTGTTTGGTGGGAAATTGGCACATATCTTTACCTTTATAGGAAACTTTTGTCGTGGGATGTATAGGCAGTTTATGGTACATGTGGAGCACAAGACTTGCGTATTTGATGGATTGACAGGTAATAAGGATTATGTTGCACCGAAATGATTGGTAGCAGGATATTTTTTGTCAGCTTGCTGTTGTCGTTAATAAGTTCCTTATGAAGAGGCAAGCAATTAACTAGGGATTTTAAACTGCTTAGCAGTAATTATCTTATCCATTATCCTATTTATTTTTTGGGTCACTGTCACTTATCCATCTTCACTATTTACGTGAGGATTCTTTAATGAAGTTTAAGGAAAACCAGAACATTGTAAGACGTAGTGTGGCATGATTATGCTTGTGGTCTAACTGATGAAGAAGTAAAAGAAATATCTGGATCAGAATTTTAAAAATGCCTCCAATCTTCTGTTTTCCAAAAGGGTCATTTTGTTGTTCACGAATTCTTATTTACGTACTGAAATCCAATGGTGATGTTGTTTACTTTCTCTGGTTCCAATTTGGTAATTCTCATCAGAAGGTCCTTTTAAAAGAGACTGTTCTTCCATTTATGACATGCGCTCTTCGAGCTTTTACTAGTGAATGTGAGAGAGGCTGGAGTAGTGGTGTGTCAATTATACCGGAAGAAATACACTGGCATTCTGTGACGTGGGTTGGGGTTTTTACTCTTTGGAGGGGGGGAAAAGTTTTGTATTGCAGATTTTGAGGCACGTTAGCATGATTTTAACTTTGTCACCTATATGTCTGATTTAACTGTGTTCACCCGCCAGATGGTCTGAGATCCTTTATATCGCTTCTTAGATTGATTACTTTTATTGGGTATATCAGCATATGCTGATGAAAGTGTTCTTAATTAGATTTCAACCTCTACTTGGCCTGGAATTCATAACAATTTTATCCACTTCAAGTGTGATTTATTTATTGGTGGGCATTGAAGCAGACATGTCTGTAATCTGCTTACCGGGAAGTTAAAAGTACGACGGGGAGGGATCTATGCAGCACTAGCTGATTACCTTTACAAGTAGCACTGCAGGAATCACTTGAATTGTTGAATATTAGTATGTAGCAAACAACTGCACAGAATACAAGTGTATTACTTGTTTTCTCTTCTGTTAGGTTATTGCCTTTATAGTATGCCTGTAGGAATGACTGGATCATAGAAGACATGACAACAGGATTACTTGAATTGCTTCCTTTCTTTTGTCCCTTCCACCTAGAAACTGCTGAAGTTTTGTATTCATCAAATTGATTATTGATGAATTAACTGATAAGATGTGTATTGTACAATAGTTGATTTGATGAAGGAGGGTACCACCGTTATCCTGAGAAATGCAAAAATCGACATGTTCAAGGGATCACTGAGGCTTGCGGTGGACAAGTGGGGAAGGGTTGAAGTCACTGAACCTGCCGATTTTTCTGTTAAAGAAGACAATAACATCTCTCTGATCGAGTTTGAGCTAGTGAATGTTGTCGAAGAGTAAATTCCAGCATGGGAAAGGCTCTTGTGCAATAGAAGAGCAAAAATGGTAGTAGCATATATACTACCATGCTGCATCAGTATTAAGGAAAGTATTGGTTGTATCCAAGCAAGCTGTCTTCTTCAGCTGAGCATGCTGCTCGATGGAACTTGGGAATATTGGTAATCCTGTAGTTAGCCTGTAAGAACTTGCTTTTATGAGCTTCCTTTCTGGTAAGTATTCGCTTGTGTTATGACCAATGTGTCAAAATTTGGGTCTTGCTAACCTCTTACTATAAATTTATTGCTTAGCCGTGTGCTTCCTTTCTTTTCTTTTCCTTGGTTAATTTCCTTTCATGCTCCAGTTGATATGAATGACCTGAAATACCATTTATAGGGTCAGATATTGCAGGAGAGAATAATGGTAATTGGAGGTGGAGTTGTAATTAGAAAAGATCAACGGTAGGGCCTTTATTTGAGTCTTAGGTTTGGAAAATGTCTGATAGGTTTAGGTTTTATACGGCCGTTATTGGGTTTGTTTGCGGGTTTAGTCTACAGCCTTTAGATCATTCAAATTGTACTCGTTACATTTCTGCCAGGATAAAGGAGGATGAAGTTGGCAGCATACATCACTGGTCATGTCAGAGGATCTATTGGGTTTCAAGCCCAATCCTTTGGGGGAAGAAATTGAAAAGGGATTGGGCAGCTGGTTCAGCATGGATGAAATATCCCAAGGGTGTGAGGCTATTAGGTCACGACCCCAAGTCCATCAGCCAAACGAGTCCCAAACTTTTTGATATGCAAATCCAAGCTGAAAATATATTAGTATTAGTTATTGACCGTAAATTTCTATGGTAATATAAGTCTGACATTAGAGTACAGCTTGATGAAGCGAGAGGGGCGCGGGATGCGGATCGGGTTTCCCTTAATAAAGGCCCACCGTGTTGTGTAAACTGAGGCCCACTACCCATTTAACTCCCGGACATTCCGGGGACATGGTAGTGGCAAATCCGTCTTGAAGTCCCTCCAAGCCAGATGAGCAATAAAGACAAAAGGGACACTTCGAAAAGAATAATAGACATCATCATGACGATTGCGAAAACGAATATAATTGTGATAGGCAAAATTAATTTAATTGCTAGGACATATGCATCCACGGCCCTAACGACACCTTTGGTAACTACATTTGCAACTCAACTGTTAGTTGGAGAGTGAAATATGAGTATGGATTTTATTTATTTACAAAAAAAAAGAAAAAGGAAATGCATCCTTAGTCCCTACCGACGCCTTCGATAATTACTTTTGCAATTCTTAATCAGTTGGAGAGTGAGTGAATACGAGTCTGGATAGTGTATTTATTGAGAAAAAGAGGTTTTATTTGGATTATATGTATTTAGTAAAACATGTTTTTTGGGATTGAACATCGTGAGAAATTGGTAACTAAGAAAACGAAAGGGCAAAGTCCCAACCGACGCTTTTGATAAGTGTTATTGGCGAAATTAATTAAATTGTTAGGAAAAGCATCCTTAGTCCGTATCTAAACCTCTGATTAATTAATTTTGCAATTCTGTGTTGAAGAGTAAGTGTCTGGCTCCCCTAATTCCGTATGCCATTGAAATAAACGAACCACTGCTTACTGCTCATGCTAATAAATAAAAAGCGAAAGCACTGAAAAAAGTATGCATGAAGGAAGGAAAGTAAAAAATAAAAAAAGTTAAAAGCAACGTCAGAATCTAAAACTTTATATATTCTCCATTGACAAACGTGGATAATAAGTTAATAAACGGGATACTAAAACAGATTGCAGCAAAATTTGGACACGGTTACGTCATGCAAATGCAAGAGCAACATCATATAGGTTCTAATATGTTTAATCCTCACTAATTCTTCTTCTTCTTTTAATTTGTTCGAACGATTTGGATAGAAAATTAGTGTTCCTGTCTGAATGATTTTGAACTTTGAGTTATGTCTCATGATATGAGAGATCACATTGTTCAGTACGTTTCTTGACTTTGTTTACTCATATTCCAGTGAGTATTTGTGGACCTTTTAGGCCAGCTATCGGACTCGACATCTAAGAAAATGGCCATGAATCAAGCTGCTGCTCATTAATAAGATTTTGATTAGATTGTTTCAAGTTCCCCGCCTCCCTCTTAGGGTATGTTATGGTATGTGGTGCGGATCATCAACTCTGCTGTCGAGTGACTCTGCGCTCTCGAGTATTATTCCACTTCTCTCCTTTAAATTTTTATCATCATGATAAGGGAAACAAGCACGCCCCATGGAAAAAGAAAATTCAAAGGCATGATAATGAACAGTTCAGCGTCAGTGATCATGATTTTTCAGAAAAAATGTTTGGGGTCCAAGTTTTATTCAATAATACACGTACCTGCTGCCTGAATAATTGCACTTGCCACCATCAGTTACCAAGTCTTCTTTTTTTTTTTTTTTGTGCTAATTGCATGAGAAAAGCCATATGCTCCAGTCCTGGTGCTTTCATGTTGGATCCCACAAAGAATAACATCCGGTGTCGAAATGATTTGAAATTATCGTAAAGGGGTACACAATCTTCCGCCCTGATGGGCTTTTCGTTTTCTTGTTTAGACTGGATCGATGCTTGTGCGAAATTTATTAAACGAACCCATGAGGTGCTACTTTTGATCAAAGAATTATTATGCTCATCCCCCAATCCTGTGTATTCTTGCCCAAATAAAAGGCAAAAGCAGAAGACGCTTTAAAAGATGCATAGATGGCACGTTTTTGACAACCCTAAGAATGATATACTTGAGCAAAAATCATGGACTGCGAATGTTTTGTGGGTTGGGAGGTATTATCAACAACCATGTGCTACTACTCCGGAAGAGCAACTGTATAAAATGCTGAAAAAGGCGAACCAGCGATTGCATGTTATCTGGTTTCATTTTTATGGTAATCCGACTCTGAAATATGACCAACCTTGTTGTACTGCTCTAAGCTTACCTCACTTGTCCTGGTCAATTTTCATCTCGTTGTTTAGGCAAAAAGATCACATCAATCAGCGGAGCGCGAAGATTCTTGAAGAGAAATTATGTGTGTTTTTTTGTTTTTGTTTTTGGTCGGTCTTTGTTGTAAGTGATTAGTCCGGATCATGCTACTTTTCCTGCTGAACTGGCTTTCGCATAGAGTCAAATTACTTGAGCATAAACCTTGTAAACTTTCAAGGCCATCGTGCCTAAAAATGTTTACTACTACAACATACAGTGCTTGGGAACAACACAACAATAATTTGAAATATAAGGGTTGAACCAAGTAATCATTAATTGTTCTGTGTGTGAGACACATTTATTAGCACTTCTGTTATGTTTATGGATCTTCCTCGTCTGCTCTCTCCCTTCTTTGTCATGTTGGGTCCTGAGGGACACCTCATAGCCACTGAGTTGGAAAATAATCTGCGAGCCAAAAAATATATGATATGATGTGGGAGCCAACTGCTATGAACAATATTTAAGCCAAGTTGAAGCTGTAATGATTTTGTCCTTTACGGAAAAGATGGATGTGCGATGAACATGCCGGATTCAGAAGCCAACAGCAACATCTTCGAGGATGGAATCTTAATTGTGGCTATGTGTTTTATAGTAGATTCTCTTAACCAGATTATCTAAATGGACCAAAACTTCAGGACTGCGTAGTTTTCATCAGTTTCCGCTACGAATCAAGAAAAAAAAAACATTAAGCAACTGATAAAAACGATCCCTTTTAGTTTTAGAGAATCAATCTCCTAGTACGATATTATGACACACAATTCATGGATTGTCATGAGACACATACCTAGATTGACTTGCATCTGCAGATTTTTGTTTAATATTATCCTCCGAGTTTCATAAAATAAGGCCAACTAACTAAACAAGAGTAAATGCAGCACATATACTTCTTCTTGGCACATAATCCTCATGTATTTTACTATAGTATGAAATGAATGTCGGGCAAAAATTACAATCAGACAAAAAAGAAAAAAAACAAACATGTAGGCTGTCCTACAATGGATATTAATTGTTTATAATGTTTAAAAATTAGTTTGGTGAATCTCTGTCAGGTTTAAGCATTGCCACTTGCACCATGTGGAGTTGCAGTCGCAGCTAGCTGTAGTTGTTCCTTGGTTTGGGGGGGATAACAAATGTTATTCAGTTATTTAGAAGCCAAACAAGAAGCATCTTCTTGCGTGACAAGAATCTCAATCTCTTGATCTTGGGCTGGCTTAATTTGAACTTTGAAGTCAAAATCTACAATAAGCTTGTTGATACCTTTTGTTTTAGGGTCTGATCGATTAAAACGATAAAGGAAACAGAAAATGATTGTTACCTTAAATTTAGTAAAGAAATGATGCCCTAGAGCTTGTACGAAGATTTGATAATACAGGATTGTAATGCTCAGAATACATCATGATCAATGGCGATTTCAAGGTCAAACTCAACAACCTATATCCATTCAATAAAATAAGCTGGTGACGTTTTAATGTGTTTTCAGATGGTACATCTGAGAATTGGGGTTTTTTTCTGGTTGATATCAGTTTGAGGGGAGGGGGGAGGCCTCAAAGAGGGATGGGGCCGGGAGTGGCTGAAGATGAGAGTAGCTATTAAGGGGAAGTTTTGACAGATGAAACGACAGAGATTAAATGTGGAGACTAGGCGGGAAGATGTACAACACAGTAGCTGCTGCAGTTGTCTAGGACCAAACTGCACCAATGAAGAGGTCAAATCAGTTCAGATCATACGGGCCAACTCAACTCTTGTTAATGCGGTCCTAAACGTTGTTTTGCGGTAGGAGTATATAAATACGTAGTACATATGATGCCATGTAATGCGTAAGAAAAACAGAATCCCCATCTCTACTTCCCAGAACACAATTGAAAATTCTGTCGTCCAATCAAACACACCCATTTTTTAGATTCATACCTTCTTGACGGGAAGAATTTGGAGAGATTTATCATCATAGATTTTCACTTTACCCGAAAGCAATCAATGATGATCACAGAGAGTGGTTGTCCGTCAGTAGATGCCACAACTAGATCGTACGCGAATTACCGGCTTTTATTTCCGTCTGAGGATTGTCTGCAGAAGATTCAATGTCGCATTTGCTAATTTTGAGGCTACCAACCCCAAAAAATTCATAGGCGAAATTGTAAACTTGTTCGTTTAGGCTGTCATAAATTCCTTACCTGCAATGTCCAAATACAGGTTCCTAAAGCATGCAGATGAAGCGCTTAATGATGCCCGCATCAATCCTTCATGTTAAGAACTACTAATCCAATTCCTCGAAACAATTCATTAGTATCTACACCAAGAGTTCGGTGACCC